AAGTTCAGATTGCCTAATCAGTTATGATTGATCTGCCATTTACAGCACACAACGAAACCAACACTCCCATCACAATATCTGAAATTTCTCTTCGGAACCTTTGTCAGCAATAATGTATATACTTCTAGGATAATGATGGTGTTGATTTGACCATATCAATCCTTACCATGCCCAAGCATGAAGGACTGGAAGCACTAAACTGGAAGATCAACCCAAATCCCCATCGCATAACATGAGCAAGACGTTCCTTACTTTGTCTGTGGTCATTATGAGAAGTATAGTTGTGTCAGAAAAAAACAGACCTTGCAGCTAAAATGTAACCAAAATGAAAAAAAAAAAAAAAAACTCAACAATCACAAGAGAAAGAGGCATAAAATAAGTAATCTATTATGACTGTCAATATCAAAGTGATTCATGTGAAAATAAAGTGCCAATCATAGAAATTTCTTATCAGATTTTTTTTAACTTGGTGTAGCCCCAGGAATAAAACAAGCTCATTGGAAATGCATGCTTCAACTTACATATTTGTGAAACCACAAAAATATATTAGACATATGTTTGACTGTAGTTTATAGGTAAAATAAATGCCATGGGGCAGTAAGACACCAGCAATGTTCTTTTTCTTCATTTTTTTACACTATTGATAGTTGTAGGAACATTTTATCAAAGAACAAAGGATTTTTTAATGCAGATCTTTGCAAATCACCACACAAATAGCACTAAACAACTTAACAGAGTCAATAATTTGCCTTATCTTTATCTAAACTTTTCTGTCTTGGTCAGTTGCTTGGTATTTCACTTTGTACATTTTTATACATGATGCAGATTGCTTGTGCTTGAATCCACTGAATCTAGAAAAATCTAATTCAATGGAAGTGAACAAGACCAAAAGTAATCACCCAAAAAGATTCCAATCACTGCACCCACTTGTATGTAAAGAATAAGGTCAATAACAAAATGTACTTTTTGTAACACATTTCAAATTTGCAAAACAGCGCCCTCTGAAGGATTTTATATCTGAAGCAAGCAATAAATTTAGAACGTATTTAACGTCCAGCCGATTCCAATGTTATCATTCAATTGAATTGGCATTATCAGTGGTTATGAGCTGATAGATATGGGGCAGTAGGGGCCTTCTGCACCTACTGGTAGGCTCATAAGGCTGTTATCTTCTATTTACATAGTTAATCAGCTATGAATCACATACGGCTGCGGCTGGAAGTTAACAAGAATTATTTATGTTATTTATTAAATTTCCCATTCATTGTATTTTATTAACGTCTACCCCAACCTTAAACCCAACCTACACAGTAATGTAAAAACAGATCTGTATCTAGAGTGTTCTCTATTAGTATAGTTGATTAACCATGTGGATGGATGATAAGTAGGTGCAGAAGGCCCGTACTGGCCTCTGATCAGCTAACAAGCACTGATAACGTCCATTAATTCATTCATTTTCTTTTCGGCTTAGTACCTTTATTAATCTAACGTCGCCACAGCAGAATGAACCGTCAACTTATACAGCGTATGTTTTACGCATGCAGCGGATGCACTTCCAGCTGCAACCCATCACTTGGAAACACCCATACACTCTCATTTACACACATACATTACAGACAATTTTAGCTTACCCAATTCCCAAATGTCTTTGGACTTGTGGGGGAAACCGGAGCACTCGGAGGAAACGTGAACATGGAGAGAACATACAAACTCCACACAGAAATGCCAACTGACCCAGCCATGCTCAAACCAGCGGCCTTCTTGCTGTAAGGCAACCACACTTCTGTGCCACCGTGTTGCCAAAGCCCATTCAATCGAGTGATGACATTCGAAGCGTGTGTTATGTTTCGCAATATATGTAAACTGAGGCATATATTTCCAATGAGCCTATGCTGGAATAATGACTAATCACACATTTTTGTTGAGATTATGAACACTGCTGAAAATTTTCAATAAAATGTTCAACCCAACATTTGGGATGGTCCATATTTGACCCAAAATGTAAACATTTTTAGAGTACATATAGTGCACACCAGACTAATTAGCATCAAAAATAGTTGCTTCTTCTCTACATAATGTCAAGCACCCAAATCAACCAGATTTCAGATTTCAAATCAAGTGTTTGCAGTCAGGTCAACGTAGTCACTGAAGACCTTAGACAGGCATTGTGCTGATTTGTTACGGATCTACTTAGATTAGTTACACAAGTAAAACCGTATTTCTTAACGATTCGTTTCAGTAGTTGAGAACTGATGCTTTCTTAGAGGGGACAGTCATATTATTTATCTTCCACTTTGGTCTTTAAAACCTTTTACATTCACAAACAGCCACATTACACACTGTCTGAAAATAATATTTGAAAAAAGCATAACCGGGGCACTTTAATAATCTCAAAAAGTATTTTCCACTAAAAAGAACCGTTTGTACATTTGTACAAACAAGTTGTGTGATTGTTAGATGGAGCCATAAACTCCAACAAAGAACCATTATTTTTTAGAGTGTACTGTACAGCCCGAAACACATTGATAATTTTTTGCCACTTGCATAATCTTCACACATCCTCCAACACTGAGGTTTATTAACATACATTGTTGTTAACATGAGCCTTAACCCACTGTAAAACCTGCGATATGGTGACTAACCGAATAATTATTCATTTTTGTTGATTATAAATTGTTAGAAGAATATATATAAGAACTATTTGTCTTACTTCAAGTGGCTGAAAAACACCCAAGCCCTCAACTAAAGTGCATTTATAAATAGAATACAGTGTTTTTTTTAACACAATGGCATAAAAATCTTGCCAAGAAGAACAAACAAAATAATAAATGAATCATTCTTATTTGGCCCAGACTTGAGATCTTGAATGTAATCTTTGATATTAGAGACATGAATAAACTGTTCATTTGTCGCTGAGATGTAAATGCCATGGACATTTCATTACATGATTATACTGGCATTAACATATAAATTGCATTTAAATGGGCATAATCAAATTTAGACTTTAAAATCGTGATAATTCATGTCATTGTATGCAGCCTTTGACTGATCTGGGTAATTAAGCATCATGGGGAATGAATTTTGCATGTATTTAATATTCTTTAAGTGACACAAATTCACAATAAGCTTTACTTTGCAAGCCCATCAGGACCGAGGACAGCAGACATGAGACTGAAAACCATGTGCTTCTAATAAGAAAACAGCTGCTGTGTGAAATTTTCAGAGGTTTTAACAGTTAAATGTAGGTTTATTTGATAATCACTGCTCCAAAACGTCTCGCATTATACACTCGTCTTTATACACAGAAGCGATGTAATGAAAGTGCCTGCGTCATATCTAAGCCTTTTCTATCCAGTTTTGTAGCATGTTGAACATTTACTCCTATAAATAACACCTACAGTTGAAGTCAGACTTATTAACCCCCCTAAATTATTTGCCCTCCTGTTTAATTTTTCCCTAATTTTTGTTTAACGGAGAGATTTTTTTCAACACATTTCTAAACATAATAGTTTTAATAATTAATTTCTAATAACTGATTTATTTTATCTTTGCCATGATGACAGTAACTAATATTTTAGATATTTTTCAACACACATCTATACAGCTTAAACTGACATTTAAAGGTTTAACTAGGTTAATTAGGTTAACTAGGCAGGATAGGATAATTAGGCAAGTTATTGTATAACGATGGTTTGTTCTGTAGACTTTCAAAAATATATATATATCCTTAAGGGGCTAATCATTTTGACCTTAAAATGGTTTTAAAAAATTAAAAACTGCTTTATTGTAGCCGAAATAAAACAAATAAGACTTTCTCCAAAAAAAATATTATCAGAAATGCTGTGAATATTTCCTTGCTCTGTTAAACATAATTTGGGAAATTGTTGAAAAAGAAAACAATTCAAAGGGGGTTTAATAATTCTGATTTCAACAGTAGTTAAAGTGGATCGCCACTGTCTTCGAAGGAGTTTTCACATTTGACCAGGTAACCTGCCGTGTTTATCTGAGGACATTAAAAAAAACTATTTAATTAGACTTTTAAATATGAATACATCGCAGTTAGAAATATGTGCACAAAGAGCTTAGAGATCCCATAACACTATTTACAGAGCACACAAACAAACTCATACACAGGTAAACAAAATGTGTCCATGCACACGCTGCAGCACTAACATAACATTATGTATGGGTCAGTGACATGTGAAAGTGATAACTCCAGGTCCATCAAATTCTGCAATTCTTCTACTTTTTTATTTTATACTTTTCATTGAATTTAAAATTACATTTGTATGGCTTAATGTAACAAATGACAAGGTGTTTTAAACATAATTTGAAAATAAATCAAGAGTTTATTTATTTATTTCACTACAAATTAAACTCTAAAGCATCTTTATCTTTAAAGAATATTGTTTATATTTATGAATCAAATGAATTTCATTTTGCTTCCTAAGACCTTGCCGTATTGTCAGTAGTAAAAGGTATTATTTTGTATTACCTATTTATTTATTTATTTATTTATTTATTGTGATTCTCAAAGTAAATATATATATATATATATATATATCTTTATGAATCAACTACAATTTATCATCTTCTTCTGGTGACAAAAAGTCATCTACCCATGCCTCGGATGAGTATTAGCAAATTCTAATTTAGGGTGAACTATTACCTTAAGTGTAGCATTACCGGGCTATAAAAACTTTATTTATCAGAATTCATGATGTTTTGTAAAACTGTATAACAGTTTGAAAACGCTGAGTATATTTAATTTTCGTTGCATTGATAATTTTGTATAAATTGATGGCTATGCAATATAAAATATAATATTATATTATATTACATTATATTATATTATATTATATTATATTTTATTTTATTATATTATATTATATTATATTATATTATATTATATTATATTATATTATATAACATTATATTATATTCATCTTCTCATCTGTAACGCTTTTACTTGTCACTGACCCACATACATGAGTGTGCATTTACGTGCGTGTAGAATGTCGGCACATTATCTTCTTGAACGCTTTCCTAAAGTCTCTGTTGAAAATGGTGTAAATGATGGGGTTCACTGAGCTGTTACAGTAACCAATCCAGAAAAAGAGATTGAACAGAGAGTCCGGTATTGTGCAACTTTTTCGGCATATGGCGTGAAGGCTGTAGGTGAAGAAGAAAGGAAACCAGCAGAGCACGAACACCCCCATCACCACCGCCAGCACGAAGGTGAAGCGCTTCTCTCGCATCTGTGCCAGTTTGGATTTGGACAAAGACAGCTGACGCGCCCTCGGCTCCTGCTCGAGCTCCGACGCGCGGCTGCAAGCCCACGACAGCCGCCCGTTGGGCTTTGGGCACGATTGCGCGCCCTCCACTTTCCTGCTCTTGGCGAAACGCGAGTTCCTGTGCCTGTTGGAGACGCTGCTTTCCTCCAGGTCGATGTCGTCGAGTTCACCTTTGCGCTCTCGGCTGCCTGAGCTGTGGCTGCTGGGGCTCTCCACCTCGGACTTGCCTTTACGCACGAAGCAGGTCTCGGATTGCGACGGCTGCCTCTCCATTCCGTTCTTGGCCACGAAAACAGTGGACGCGCGCTGTTTGGCCACCCTGTAGATCCTGCAGTACACCAAAATCATAATAAGACCCGGTGCAAAAAACGACACGATACAGGAGGAAAGGATGTACCAGGTCTCGTTGTTTAGCAAACACTCAAGCTCATCGTGCTTGGTCATGAGAAGTGGTGGGAAGGAAATAACCGCTGAAATGACCCACACCACCGTGATCATGATCTTTATTCTCCGCGGAGTTCTTTTCAGGTTGTAGCTGACCGCTTTGGTAACCGACCAGTATCTGTCCAAACTTATGGCGCAGAGATGAACAATGGACGACGTGCAGAAAAGCACGTCCAAAGCCAGGTAGAAAGCACACCAGGTACTTCCAAAGTACCAGTAGCCCATCACCTCGTTGGCCAGGGAGAACGGAATGACCAAAGTGGCAACCAAAATATCAGCAGCCGCTAAAGAGACCAGAAAGAGGTTCTGTGGGGCGCGCAGAGCGCGGCTGGTAAACACGGCCACCACGACCAACACGTTCCCCACGATGGTCACCAAAATAATCACGGTCACCACGAGAACGATGAGCACCGACGCGCACTGTGAGTGCGGTGGCAGCCTTGGCGCGCTTGTGCCGTTAGTATCCTCGGATGAGTTCGGCAAGAGGAAGGTGATGGTACTTAAATCCATTCTTGGTTCCCTTGGCGCTGATACCCCATTTTCAGGCGTATTGTCATCCTTCAAACTTGTAGCATCCAACGTGAAGCTCTGCGCAGTCCTCCACACACTCCACGCCAGGCGTATCATACCAAAGATGGTGCTCTAATAACTTTTAAAACTCCCCATTGATTTGGTTGTTTTTTATCTGTTTCTGCTACCGTTTTGACGGGGCAGTGTTGAAGCACGCATAGCCAAGTCATGTTTTGTTTGCAGGAGCGCGCGCGGAGAGGCGGCGGGGATGCGCAGCGTTGAGCTCCTGTGTGTCGCGCTGAACAAATATGGGAGTGTTTGAGCTTGTGTCTCTCCTCCTCTGACTCTCTCCCTCTCTCGTTTTTTCTTCTTTAGAGTCGAGGGTGTGCTGTTTGTACTGCCAAATTAGACAAGCTTTTGAATAATTAACAATAAAAGATTGTAAAATCCATAGGTAGAAGCATGGTTTTATAACTTTCATTAACACGTCATGAATATGCATGACTTGTTATATATCCCAATATTAATTAAAGTTTTGACACATATTACTCAGTAAAAAGAATGTGGCAGCAGTGGTTGTCAGAAATGTATTATACAAATTATTGGGATAAAGTAAAATGAAATACAACATAACAATAATGTGCATATCTGATAAAACAAATGAGAAGAAAGTTATATCTTAAATAAAACCTTAAGAAATGTCGTAGCATACTACTACTACTACTTCTACTACTACTACTACTACTAATAATAATAATAATAATAATAATAATAATAACAATAAATAAAATAACCAATATCTTAAAATAAAATAACTGTAATGTATATTAATATTAATATTGCATGTACATTTAAAAATAAAAGAATAAGCCCTTTAATAAATAGTTTAATTCAGAATTATTAACCCCCCTGAATTATTAGCCCCCTGTTAATTTCCCCCCCACTTTATGTTTAACGGAGATCACATCTTTTCAACACATTTCTAAACATGATAGTTTTAATAACTCATCTCTAATAACTGATTTGTTTTATTTTTGCCATGATGACAGTAAATAATTTTTGACTAGATATTTTTCAAGACACTTCTACAGCTTAAAGTGACATTTAAAGGCTTAATCAGGTTAACTAGGCAGGTCAGGGTAATTAGGCAAGTTATTGTATAACGATGGTTTGTTCTGCAGACTATCGAAAAAAAAAATTAGCTTAAAGGGCTTAAATTTTTGACCTTAAAATGCTTTTAAAAAAATAAAGCTGCTTTTATTCTAGCCAAAATAAAAACAAAGAAGACTTTTTTTTCCAGAAGAAAAGAATATTTTTAGACATACAGTGAAAATTTCCTGAATCTGTTAAACATAATTTGGGAAATATTTAAAAAAGATAAAACATCTAAAGGGGGCTAATATTTCTGACTTCAACTGTATGTAATCTTATAACAACAAGCTAATCCAATTATCCACTAACATATTTTCCAGTGTGAACTGATAAAAGCTACATACTGTATATTATGTCAAATGTTTGCACTATGGGGAAATGTTGAAGCTTCTTTTTACCCTGCAGCTTTAGTGACAATCGTTTATTTTTGGAGTCCTGCTTGTTAACTTGCTGAGCAGTTATTAAGCCTGTCAGTCCACTAGTAAATATAGCAATCAAATGTGCATAGCGATTCATTGAGTGTATGCTGTAAATAGCAAATTAGGTAGAATTTAGGATGTCAGTATCCACCTAATAGCACCCCATGGACTTTTGCTATTAATAACCCAAGTCAAATGAAAACACTTCTGCATGTTAAAGTGTAAAAGCAGAATCCAGAAGTTAGCTAACCTTGCTGACCTATAATTTAGGTATTCTGCAAAGAAAAAGATTCTTAATGACCCATGACATTGAATACATTCTAATTCAGTCAAGACAGAGACAAAATGACTTTCAATTTCAAAATGAAAGTATGCAGTGCTGCATTTATCACAGTAAATAGCTTAAAGCTATGAAAATAGGAAGTGCTATTGTGTATATTTAAATTGGAACTCAGCAATTAATTCACTTCAACAGATAGTCAATTGTGGATAGGAAACAGAGCAGAATCTTAAATATTTCTTGATTTTATGTCATCATATTTCTTACATTTTTCGTCATCCGACAAGCCATGTTTCAATACTGAATCCCAGATGTTCAGTGCAGTCTCAGATCAGATGTTTCCACTGAGAGAGGAAGAAAATGTATTTGTATTGATTTGATTAGTGTGTTGTTTTCTTCCCTCAAGAATGCTGTAAGTACTGCTTTTTAAATGCAAATTGAAAAATAATGTAAACTGAAAGTTTCACTCACCTTCCACTTAATGAGAGAAGGAAACAGTCCAGGGTTTTCATACATGAGCGTGTTATTGAAAATGAATACAGCTCTGGTCCAAAACAAAGCCTAACACACTGCTCCACTATTGCGATCTACTGTACACTATAAGAATAAAAAGTTGAATCAACTTAAAATTGTATTAAAGGCAACTTGCTGCACAGCTTTCTTAATTGACTTAACTTAAACCAAGTCAACTAAAGTATTTTGGTTAAAGTTGAGTTTACTCAAAAAAAAAAAAAAAAAAGCTGTGCAGCAAGTTGCCTTACCATTTTAAGTTGAGTCTACCTTTTTTCCAGTGTACATAGACAACACAAATAGCTGTCAACATTTCATTTCAACTGAGGTTGCAGACGTGCAACAGACTTGACCATGCTTCAGATTTTGATGCCTTTGGGGTGAGAATGGGTTGGAGTTTGACACATTAACTGCACAATACTATTAAACATTAAAACTTAAATAAGTAGTATTTTAAAAGCAATATTTATAATGTTTAGACAAAGACTGAAAATTTTGCACTGAAATAGAGTGAATGTGTGGTTTATTTATGCTTTAGTAATAAACAGATATGACATTTTTGGATGATTTTCATAGCTCATTATATTTGGAAGTTTATATATAGATTTCCAAACTTAAAGAGCTGCTTTACATTTGTTAAGAGGATCTCAAGGAGATTTTCAGCTCATGACCCCAAAAGTAACAATGGTATTATTACAGTAATAAGTAAAATGTTTATAGACAACGACTTAAAATTTAGCACTGAAATAGAGAGAACATAATGGCTTATTTATGCTATAGTGATGAACCGATATGAAAATTGTGGAATATATTTATAGCTCGTTATATTTGGAAGTCTATATATAGACTTCCAACTATAAAGAGCTACTTTACATCCTTTAACCCTTTAACTGCCCCGCCAAGAAAGCAATTTTTTGAATTGCAATCCTTAACTCCTAATGTCGCTATTTAACATACTCAATGAATTTTTTTAACACATCCCATAATTTCTAAAATATCAACCTCTACCAAATTTGTGATATGTCGGTTTATGGTAAAAGTACTGGAATTAATACATATACTATGAAAATCAGAAAGTATGAAATGTAAGACGGATTTAAAAAAAAAAAAAAAAACATTATTAAAATAAAATATTTTTGAATACTAAATCTGATTTTTTTTGTGGATGTAAAATTAAATATTAAAAAATATATATATATATATTTCAGATTCTCATTTAACATGTTTTCTTGTTTTTCTGTGTTTTTTTTTGTTTTTTTTTTTGTTTTTTTTTTACAATAAAACCAAAATCAAGTGCAGTAGTGCAAGGGGATTATGTTTGTTTATTTTTTATTTTTTGGTAAACTATCAGTGTTGTATAATGTAAACCATTATTTAAAACAATCATTCTTTAAATGACTTTAACAGTCAAAATATGGTCAACCATTTGGTAGAGCAGGCAGTTAGAGGGCTAGGAGGATCTCAAGGGGATTTTCAGCCCATGACCTCCAAAATAACGATGCCAGGGACTTGCGACCCCCATTATTCTTAGTATTCTTAAGTAGTTATCCAAATGTGGTTCCCAATGATGATGCCTATATAAAAGAGCATATTGACAATACAGAAAGAGCAAGATTTTATTTTAATTTATTCATGTGATCAATTTTAATATTAACTTCAACTAGTGAGATGGGTGAATAGAATGTTTGGAGCACGCTAAGTTTATGCTTGTATACCACCATTCAGAGCTAACCCTCCACATTCAGTCACCTGTATTTATTTTAAATGTACATGAGTGCCAAAAAGGTGTCAGAACATGGATGAACAGTTTCGACTGCACAGGCACAGTTTTTGACACTTGTTGTGTTGTTAATGTAATTTAATCACCCCAGGGGTCACAATCCAATGTGGGGGTGGGGGTGGGTAATCAGGGTGATGGCTTTTTATTTGGATATTGTTTTTTTTTTTATGTAACAGTTATCTATTTGTAACGTTTGTTAGTTACAGGGGGTCATAGCTCATATTTTGGAGAGCATTTTTTTTTCAAAGTTATTTCCATCCCTTTAAGAGCATGTAACATATCCACTACCTAACAAAAGTCTTGTTGTCTGTCCAAGTTTTAGTAACAGCAAATAATAACTTGACTACTTGCTGATCATTTGGTATCAGAAGTGGCTCATATGAAAGGCAAAGGCCTCTAGATTACGATTATTTTACCAAAATAAAATATGATCATTTAATTAGGGCAGTAAGGTCTGACTTCGGTTTGTGTTTAAATAACATCTTTGTATGCTGTTATTTAGCTCACATGAAAAAATATTGTCATGCATTGACTATTATTTCAGCAGTGAACTCACGAGGTGTTCGCTGGGTAATCAGCTGCTCACTTTATGGCTCTTCGAGGGTGAGTGTTCTAGCTTCTTAGTGCTGATAGATGCAATTACTGATTCAGTTGAGCCCTCTTAATTGTAATTCAGGGAGAAGGTCAATAATATATTATTAATATCTGAGCCACAGGACTTAAAAAAACGATGTTGAATGCTGATATAGTCATGTTTGAATGCTGAGTAATGAATACTGGAGGTTCACATTTTAATGAGTGAAGTGCACTAGGGGTCTTCTGCTGTCAGACTGGGGACTGGTTGCTGTAGTGCCAGCAT